TCATTTTACTGTTGGGTTGTTGGATGCAGCCATGTTCAAGAGGAGATTTGTATAAGTTTTAAATTGTGTTATATATTCATTATTGTTGTTGTTGTTTATTGAATTGTATTTTACATTGATGTAAGTTACCCCAACTGGTCATAGCGAACACCCTTTTCCAACAACCAAAGAGGCAACTCTACACATGGACATCACCAGATGGGCAACACCGAAATCAGATTGACTATATAATTTGCAGTCAAAGATGGAGAAGCTCTATCCAGCCAGTAAAAACAAGACCTGGAGCTGGCTGTGGCTCAGATCATGAGCTACTCATTGCAAAATTCAGACTTAAACTGAAGAAAATTGGGAAAACCACTAGGACATTCAGGTTTGACCTATATTGCATCCCTGATGAATATACAGTAGAGGTGAAGAATAGATTCAAGGGTCTAGATTTGATAGAGTGCCTGAAGAACTATGGACAGAGGTTCGTGACATTGTACAGGAGGCAGCAATCACCACCATCCCAAAGAAAAAGAAATGCAAGAAAGCAAAGTGGCTGTCTGATGAGGCTTTACAAATAGCAGAGGAAAGAAGGAAAGCGAAAGGCAAAGGCGAAAAGGAAAGATTTACCCAACTGAATGCAGATTTCCAAAGAACACCAAGGAGAGATAAGGAGGCCTTCCTGAATGAACAATGCAAAGTAATAGAGGAAAACAATGGAATGGGAAGGACTAGAGATCTCTTCAAGAAAATTGGAGAAATCAAGGGAGCGTTCCATGCAAAGCTGGCCATGATAAAGGACAAAAACGGTAGGGACCTAACAGAAGCAGAAGAGATTAGGAAAAGATGGCAAGAATACACAGAAGAACTATACAAGAAAGACCTCGATGTCCTTGACAACCACGACGGTATAATCACTGACCTCGAGCCAGACATCCTGGAATGTGAAGTTAAATGGGCCTTAGAAAGCATTACTAACAACAAAGCTAGTGGAGGTGATGGTATCCCAGCTGAGCTATTCAAAGTCTTAAAAGATGATGCTGTTAAAGTGCTGCACTCAATTTGCCAGCAAATTTGGAAAACGCAACAGTGGCCACAGGATTGGAAAAGGTCAGTATACATTCCAATCCCAAAGAAGGGCAATGCCAAGGAATGTTCAAACTATCGCACAATTGCACTCATATCACACGCTAGCAAGGTCATGCTCAAGATCCTACAAGCTAGGCTTCAACAGTACGTGGATAGAGAACTGCCAGAAGTACAAGCTGGGTTTCGAAGAGGTAGAGGAACGAGAGATCATATTGCCAACATTCGCTGGATTATGGAGAAAGCAAGAGAGTACCAGAAAAACATCTACTTCTGCTTCATTGACTATGCTAAAGCCTTTGACTGTGTGGATCACAACAAACTATGGCAGGTCCTTAAAGAGATGGGAGTACCAGACCACCTCACATGTCTCTTGAGAAACCTGTATAAGGGCCAAGAAGCGACAGTTAGAACCGGATATGGAACAACTGATTGGTTCAGCATAGGAAAAGGAGTACGACAAGGATGTATATTGTCACCTTGCTTATTTAATATATATGCAGAGTACATCATGCGAAATGCTGGCCTGGATGAATCACAAGCGGGAATTAAGATTGCTGGGGAAAAGATCAACAACCTCAGATATGCAGATGATACCACTCTAATGGCAAAAAGTGAAGAGGACCTAAAGAGCCTCTTGCTCAGAGTAAAAGAGGAGAGCGCAAAAGTGGGCTTGAAGCTCAACATCAAATAAACTAAGATCATGGCATCTGGCCCCATCACTCCTTGGCAAACAGAAGGGGAAGTAATGGAAGTAGTGACAGACTTCATGTTCCTGGGATCCCAGATCAGTGCAGACTGTGACAGCAGCCATGGAATTAAAAGATGCCTGCTCCTTGGGAGGAAAGTGATGGCGAACCTAAACAGCATGATAAAAAGTAGAGACATCACCCTGCCAACAAAAGTCCACATGGTCGAAGTAATGGTATTCCTAGTAGTCATGTATAGCTCTGAGAGTTGGACTATAAGGAAGGCCGAGCGCCGAAGAATAGATTGTTTTGAACTATGGTGCTGGAGAAGACTCTTGAGAGTTCCTTGGACTGCAAGAAGGTCAAATCCGTCAGTCCTAAAAGAAATCAACTCTGACTGTTCCCTGGAAGGCCAGATAATGAAACTGAAGCTCAAATACTTTGGCCACCAAATGAGAAGGGAGCACTCACTGGAGAAGACCCTGATGCTGGGAAAGATTGAAGGTAAAAGAAGACGAGGACGGCAAAGGATGAGATGGTTAGACAGTGTCATAGATGCAACGAACATGAAATTGAGCAAACTTCAGAGGACGGTGGAAGACAGGAAGGCCTGTGGATCTGGTCCATGTGCGACTGAAGAATAACAACAACAACAACCCCAAGCTTTGCTTGTTAAGGGAGTGGTGGGGTATAAATGTGATAGCTAAATAAGATGTTCAGAGGTACCCATTATTACTTGCAAAGCTGAACTTTGGGTTCTGCATCTCCTGCATTTAATGAAACCTTAAATCTTGCTTTCTGAGACTTTCTTGTCATGGTGGCGATAAGCCTGGTTCTGGACTGTACTAATTCAGATTGCAGAGGGGGGAGGCTCATGTGTTTTAAGGCTACTCGGTACAAAAATATCCCCTGCACTTAGAAAACTAGCATGCCAGGCCACAAGCCTTCTTTCACACATTCAGTGTTGTGTGCAGGCATTTCTGATTTTGCATTGGCAGAGCAGAGAATGATGTAAGCCACTTTGAGCCTGCCTTGGGGAGAAAGGTGGGGTATAAATGAAGTAAATTTTAAAAACGAGGAACGTTCACTCATGTAAATCCCCATCTGAAGTCTTAAGGGGTACAGTGCAAACACAACTTGACTACTACAGTGAGAACTAGTCCCTAGACAAGATGACCCTACTTTCCAGAAATGCTCTTTCTTCCTCAGCCTAGCAGGCAATCTATAACAATGAAAAGCCGTTAGGGTCTTTTGGTGATGAATTTTATTTTCCAGTGCTTTGCCCTCATCTGTCGCTGAAAGGAAGGCTGTGGTCTCCCCCTAGGGATTAAAGCACAGCATAATTTTTGCATTATACTTCAGGCCAAGTACTGTTATGTCTGACACCTGCCCACAGCTCCGAGCCCTCCTTCTGAGCCCTCCTTAGGGCCGGGCCCAGGAGGAAACTGATGGGAAAGGTGACCTTCCCCATCCCTCCTGTGCAGCCATTGCAGCTATTGCCCTTCCTCAGCCAAACCACTGGGGACTGAAAAATGAGAGTTGGGGCCCAATTCACCACCTCCTGTTTTACTTTCCCCGTTTGCAAAAAAAGAGAGAGAGATTCACTCCAGGCAAGCCTGGTTTCACATATAAATGCGAGTGAAGCCTCCTTCACGTCTGAGATATTTCACACGTTCAGTTACAAATCAGATGGGACAGCAGCAGACCTGGATCTGAGCAATCTCCCTTATACATAAAAGCCGAATGGTGGTGGCACTTCTCTAGAACATTCCATACACTCCGGAATTGGTTGGCACCCTGGTGTGTCACTCAGAATCTGTCCCTATCCACTGGCTGCATTGCTTGAGTCTCGCCTCCAACATTCTAAACAGTTTGTTGTTCCTCTCCCCCCCCCTGTAGCCAGTGAGAACACAGAGGTTATTTGCATATGCAGCCTCATTGGCCTTGGCCTCGAAACACAGAGGTCGTTTGCATATGCGACTTGATTGGCTTTTGCCTCTAACATTCTAAACAGTTTGCTCTTCTGAGGTAAAATGTGTCCATCTCCAGGTGAGGGCTGGAGATCACTCAGAATTACAACTGCTTTCCAGATGGCAGAGATCAGTTCCCCTGGAGAAAATGGTGGGCTCTGTATCCTGATATGCTGTTGAGGTGGCCCCCGTATGACAGCCAATGTGACTAGCAGTCAGGGCTTCAGAGCACGGGAGAGACTGCAGGTGTGTGGGGGGTGGAAAGCTGAAGAGTGAGGGGGAAATAAAGGTAGGTTGATGATTGGCTGGGAAGGAGCTAAGGTTGCCAACTACCAGGTGGGAAATTCCTGGAGATGTGAGGGATGGAGCCTGGAGAGGGTGAGGTTTCAGGAGGCGTGGGACCTCGGACAGGTACAAAGCCATAGACTCCACCCTACAAACCAACCATTCCCTTCTGGGGAACCATCGTTGCCAATCTCCAGGTGAGGGCTGGAGATCACTCAACATTACAACTGTTCTTTAGGTAGCAGAGATCAGTTCCTCTGGAGAAAATGGTGGACTCAGTGTCATTATACCCTGCTGAGATCACCACAGCAAATTGACACTGAGTGTCCAAGACCGGAGCACCCGCCCAGAGCCTCTTTCTAGAGATCGTTGTATTTATTTCCACAACGGGCCTTTTTCCTAGTCAGATATAATCCCCATCCCCAAGATTTTTATGTTACTGGGGCAGACTGTGGTTTCAACAAAGGGGTTGCCAACTCCAGGGTGGGAAATTCCTGGAGATTTGGGGAGGAACCTGGGAAGGGCAAAATTGGGGAGGGGAAGTGGCTCAGCTGGGGTGTTATTCCATGAAGACTGCCCTCCACAGTTACCATCTCTAGTCTGGAGATCAGTTGTAATTCCAGGAGAACTCCAGGCCTCCCCTGGAGGATGACAATCCTATATACCTAAACCGGGTTTGACTCCAGGAAGTGGCACAGCTGAAGAATGCAGCTTATATGTCCTCTCTCCTGAAGGGGTTAAAATCTACTCTTTCATCTCAAAAACATTCATTTGGTCTCCAAAACGAGCACTTCTCAGAGGCTCAGCACAGAGAGTACGTCCTTGCCTTCTCTCCCCTTTGCCCCTTTGTCTCCAGCATCCAGCTGTTCTCTTGGCCTCTAAATGCACTGAGAACCATCCTCACTTTGGGTTTTGTTCTTTGACACACACAGACACCCTGCTGCAGAGGGGCATCCCCCCCCTCTCATCCCTCAGCCCCCTTTACCTGCAGACACGAAGAAGATGCCGGCACTAAGGATGATGTTATGTCGGGTTTTGTAGAACTCGCTGGCTGCAATGCAGAGTCCACCCATGAAAAGCAGAATCACACTCAGGATCGGGAAAATACTAGAGGCCCTCACAGCCCCTGTAGTGAAGAAAGGGGTGGGACAGGGAGGGAAGGGGGAGAAAGAACAGCGTACAGATCAGAGAGGCAGAGAGGGGATGGAAGACAGAGGAGAAGATCGGGGAGGGAAGAAAACCAAGGGAGAGGGAGAATGGCAGTGAGGAGGGACCAGGAAGACAGAGCAAGAGAACCGAAGATTCGGAAAGGCAAGTGATAAAGGGAGGAACAAGGAGACAGAAGGAGAAGAGAGAAACAGAGTGTCAGCAGAAGAAGAGAGCCGTTACAAATGAACTGTCAACATCTTGGGTATTAGAAACAAGCAGTGTACTTGGAGCTGGGGACCAGTCAAGCAGCATCTGGTAGAGGTTTACCCGTTCTCCTTTATGCAACCAGAAGGCCAAGAGGCATCTCTCTTCCTATGTATTCAAACAGAAAGCGAAATCTAAGGGTCAGAAAGCCACCATTGGTGCAGGATAATATTCATGGTCTAGAATGGTAGCTGCAGTCAGCAGAAGTGCTGGGAACAAACGCACATTGTTTTATGGAAGCAGAGGTGGAGGGTTCACCTAAGGTGAGCCAAAAGACAGGTGCCAGAACACACATGTGCATGCCCCTGCACGCCTGCTGAAGACGACATCCATGTCTCACACCCCAAATGAGGGCAGTCTTGTGTGCCCTCCCTCTTGTCCAGCTCCTATTCTCACAGATTGCAACCAGCAGATGGCAGTAGCAGACAGGTGCATAAATAACATTCCACACAAATGCATACATGTATGTATACACACACAGATGTATAGTAGGTTAATTGTTATGGGATATGGGTGGCTGTGCATGTTGCAACTGCTACAGGAAATATAACAGTGCTTTACCAGTGTTTCCCACAAGCATGCTGATGTTGCACAGAGGGAGGGAGGGTCTGTCTCTTTACCACTTAGCCATGGCTCCTTTCTCTTTGCAATATTGACATGTACATGCTTACTGCGGGAAATACGGCTATTTCTTGCTTTGCATGCAGAATGTCCCAGGTTCAGTCCCTGGCATCGCAACTTAGAAGAGGTCTCAGGTAGTAGGTCCAGTGAGATGTTAGCTGTGAGTTTCACACCATGTGTGAACCCAATGCAGATTGGGACCATGGAGTGTAGAAAAAAGAAGAAGAAGAAGAAGAAGAAGAAGAAGAAGAAGAAGAAGAAGAAGAAGAAGAAGAAGAGATTGGATTTATACCCCGCTCTTCACTTGGAGTCTCAGAGTGGCTTACAAACTCCTTTCCCTTCCTCTCCCCACAACAGACACCCTGTGAGGTAGGTGGGGCTGAGAGAGCTCTTTCCAGAACTGTCCTTGAGAGAACATCTCTGACAGAACTATGGCTTGCCCAAGGTCAACCAGCAGCTGCAAGTGGAGGAGTGGGGAATCAAACCCGGTTCTCCCAGATTAGAGTCCACACACTTAACCACTACACCAATCTGGCTTAAATCTCCTCCCCCAGTTTTTCCAACCTAAATTGGCCCAGGAGGGTGCTATTGGCTTCACTGGGAAACTTTTGCAGCCCCCAGTAGGATTAGTAGCCCCTGTTTCAGATCAGGAAAACAGCATGGGGGAGCAAGGCTCAACTCCTTGCTTTGGTCCCAGTTCAGATTGGGTCCCTGCACACTTTGGAACTGAGTTCTTAGTGTGGATCTCACAGCTGACACCTGTCTGAAACTCCTCAGGGCAGACCTGGGGGAAATATGTGAAAAACATAACTTGTAGTTAATAGAATGCGACCCCACAGCAACATCTGGGAATCATGCTGCGCCCGTCCCCCATCTGTCCCTTCCGCCGAAAAAGCGCACCAAAAAAGAACCACCTAACCGGGTGGTTCAATCGAAAGGGCCGCGGCAAGTGCGGCCGTGGGATCGGCGGCGCGTCCTTGCGCCGGTGCATCCCTGGCCGAACTGCGCATGCTCGAGCATGCGCAGTTCGGGAGCCTCCCCCTCCCCCTCGTCTCTTCCTCCCTGGCATCTGATCGTGCCGGGGAGCAATGGCGCGCGGCTCACGGGATCCGTGGGATCCTGCCTGCAGCGTCTCTATTTTGGTGCGGCTCTAATTAGCCGCACTTTCACCAGTGTTTTCCCTGCCGTGTGGCAGGGGCCATAGTTATCATTTTCTAATGTCCTTGATTGTTTGTAAAAAGGATGAATATATTCAATGTATAAAGACTAATCAATGTGTTTTTTTAAAAAATGATGTCTAATGATGATAGAAATTATCACATCTCTCCCCTTTGGGAAAAAAAATCCAGTATTACTTCTGACTTGTCCTCATAATCTTATGTCTCTAGATGTCATTTCTTTCCAGGTTCTGCATTCCATTTAGATAACCAGTACTGCTAATTAACAGGAACATATTCCATAATGCAGTAATGTCAAGTGTTGGGAAAAGAAAACAGCTTCCCAGCTTGAGAGGAAAACATAATTCTGAGACTACTGAAACCCTGTCTAAACAGGACATTTTATAACATGACTGAATGTGAGGTGATGTCTAACTAGAGTACCTGCCACATCTGTTTATTGTTGCAAACATTAATGTGTGTTATACCATCTAAAGGATTTTAAAAATTTCCCTAGAGCTCTGAAGGACTTATCCTTATAATTGCAAGCTTTCTAAAGAAAGCTGTAGAAAGTAGTACTTTGAAAGGAGACCCATAGATACAGACAGCCAGATAGCCCCCATTCTTTTGGATGGTTTGTAATGAGAACTCTATGGCCAGCTGATCCTGAAAGCTTCATTCCTTGGGAGTATAATGTAAAAGTTCTAACAGCCATGGGCCAGAAAGATGATAGGAAATCACCACAGAATTGTTCAGATTCCTGAGGTGGTAAATGTATGTTGTAAGTCTTTTGAATTAAAGAATGCATCACATGAAAAGAGAAATGTCCCTGTGATGCCTATATTGTCTACGCTAAACACAGATAATTTTACCTGTTAAGCTGTCACAATGATTATGTGGAAAATGTCATGGCTGCACAGAGGGTATCTCCTAGATCTGGGTGAAGAAGAGGGCTTAGCTATACATAGGCCTGTGGATGTACATTTGTATCTGCTATGTGATGCTCGTCTGGACCCCACTGAAATGTGTGGATATAACGTTTGGTGTGAACAGGAATGACAATCCCGTGTGAGGCCTCTAGTTGTTATATGTGGCCTGCTGAGTAAGACAGGTGGACTGTAAATCATGTCTGTGTTAGAAGTTCACCTTTGGCAGTAGTAAATCTGGGTTGGAATGGAGAGAGGTGGGATATCAGGAAAGTATTATGGGAGTTCTAGAAATGCATGTGGTCTTCCTTGGGCAGTGCCAGGCTGGAAATAACTGACCTGCAGTATTTACAATAAAAAGGTGAGGTAATAAAAAGGTCTAGGTAATGACATAAATGCCAACAAAAGGTGTATCTATACCAGTCAAATCACATATAAAGAGGCCCAGGTCGCCTCCACTATGGAGACCCAGGTTGCCGCCACTGCCAGGTCTGCGTTTTTTTCATCTGAGACAGGCAGTTGGCCCCATATCTCACCCCCCAGGATCTGGCTACAGTGACCCAGTGGTCAGTTCCAGATTGGATTATTGTAATTCTTTCTACACGGGGCTGCCCTTGGCTCTGCTCCGGAATCTGCAGTTGGTGCATAACACAGCAGCATGGGAACGGACTTGGTCATCTGTGCAGATGCACATTCACCCTGTGCTGCATGAACTGCACTGGCTGCCTATTGAGTACTGGATCAATTTCAAGGTGTTGGTGCTTACCTTCGAAGCTCTATGCAGCCAGGGGCCTGCATACCTTCGGGACCGCCTCTCCCCTTATGAGCCCCAGAGAACTTTATGATCTGCAAATCAGCATCTTCTGGTGGTCCCCGGCCCCAGGGACATCCATCTTGCCTCAACTAGGAGGGCATTTTTGGCTCTGTCCTCTACCTGGTGGAATGAGCTCCCATATGAAAACATGGCCCTGCAAGACCTTTTACAGTTCTGCAGGACCTGCAAGACGGAGCTCTTCCGCCAGGCTTTTAGTTGAGGTGGCAGACGTCCATATTCTATCAGATCTCCCCTCCAGTGGATCAGATCTGTGTCATCATCTGGAACCCAAATTACACTAGAACTCATCTGTTGAGGTGCTGGCTAGAAATATGGGAATCAGTAATAGTAATTTAATTGATATATTTTAATTGTTTTTAACTGTATATATTTTTATGATGGAACCCACCCTGAATCCACTACGCAGGGAGGGCAGGGTACAAATCTAATAAAATAAAAATAAATAAATAAAGAGAAGAGCAGCATATCGACTCCATTGGATGCAAGAAACAAAGCTATCCAATAAGTCCCAGTGTAGTTTGGGCTGTGTGACAGCTCTTCAACAGGGGGACATTTACTTGTTTAAAAGCCTCCCTTTTTGTCCTTTGAGAGAATGTTCCCCTGCAAGAAATGGATACTACACAGCTTTTCACAGAGAGAGTACAGGGAAATTTTGAAGCAAGGTACTGCTCCCTTGATGAAGAACTGTTACCATTCAAAATGTGTTGGAAGAATAATAATAACAATTTTTTTAAACCCCACTTGAAATCACAGGTCAAGTTGCATCACTTTGAAGAGGGTGTGCGTGAGTTAAACTGTTGTGCTAAACAAGGTCCAAGAAAGGCACAAAGACCCTGGCATTAAAACCCTGCTTGGGCTCTTGAACTAGTTGAGCTTTTCTTCTTGAGGCCTCTCCTGCTTTTCCTTCTGCTCCTTTTGTGTGCTTTGCCAAGTACAAAAGGTGATCCCATTCACCAAGCAATTCTATTTTCCACCCAATTTGGTAGATTCCCCCCCCCCCTTTCTGTGTTTTGCTCAGGAGTCCAATTCTCTGTAAGGTTTCTCTCTGAACTTGGGTAAAACTGAAAGTTTATAAATAAAGTAATTCAAATAAATTCCTTATTTGCAAAATGAACAGGCACTTAAATATTGGGTAAGCTTTTTATACATTCCCTCCAGGATACATATTACTACT